TCCCCAGCTTTCTTGTAGCCCCTTCAGGTACTGGGAGGTCTCTAGAAGATCTCCCTGGAGCCTTCTCTTCTCCAGGCTGAACAGCCCCAACTCTCTCAGCCTGTCCTCACAGCAGAGCTGCTCCAGCCCTCGCATCATCCTGGTGGCCTCCTCTGGACTTGTTCTAACTGGTCCGTGTCTTTCTTATGTTGGGGGCTCCAGAACTGGACACAAGACCTCAGAGAGCTGAGCTCAAAATCAACAGTGGGATGCGGTCAGGCTCTTTTTCACAGTCTTGCTGATGTATCTGTGCCAGGGCAAAGCAAGATAAAAGCCTGCTCTGGTTACTGCTGTGAGAGATAAACAAACTGTCCACAGCGAAAGCAGGACCCACAGCACTTGCCACTGTATTTAGCGATAGCTGGGTCTGCTGCGGTCTGGGCAGAAGCAGAAAAATAAGCTTTGCAAACAAGTCAGCATCACCTCTGAAAAATCATCTCCAACTTGAGTTCATTCATGCAACTTACAGAACGAGAAAAAAAGGATTCACTAACCCAAAATTTTCAAGGTGGCTTTTTAGTGGTGCTCCAAAGCAGAGTGAGCAGGTGGAGAAACTCAAGATTCTACAGATTTGGTTCCTGCCAGAAATTCTCATTTAGAGAGCCAGCAGCAAAAACACTTTTTTAAATAAATGACAAGAAAATAAACCTAAAGCAAGGCAAAGAACACGAGCTGCGTGGTGTAAAGGCCAGCGCTCTCTTTCAAAGTACCAGCCAACGTTGTATTAAGAGAGGGGAAGCACAAAACCACACGAAGTGAGGGTGGAAAAATTCACCGCGGGGATGAACGGAGAATCACGTCGGAGTCGCTAAAGATCCATTTAAAATCTTGAGCAGCAAGTCTGGTCTCCTCTGGCATCAGTAAAAACCCTTTAACATCTTTATTGTTTTATAGCTTTGCAGAGCACTTTAAAGAGATTACAGGAAACGAGGTCTTCTGCCAGTTTACTGTCTAACTTAGAAAACAGGAGAAAGACAAAGAAGATGCAGAAATCAAGGCGAGGCAGAAAGTGGCCATAAAACCTGCGTGTTGTGGGAGAGAGGAGATAAAGCAGAGAGCCCAGGAGTGACTCCAGGGGTGCAAATAACAGGGACAGGGGGTATTTTAAGGAGAAAGGGAAGTATTTTAAGGAGAAAAAGGGAACAAGGGAGTTTATCAGTCACAGGCCAAGTGACTTCCAGATATCCCAAAGAGGAATCGCTCGGATCAGCTCTGGTTTTAAGGTTCTTCTTTCTTCCTTCAACATTTATTCGCTCCCTTGACGCTGCCAACCTGCAGTATTTCTGTTCAAAGCCAAGACACTGGAAGGCGGATGGGGGAGATAAATAGGAGGAACAAATCTCCTTTCGTTTTGAGTTTATTTCAATAACTGATTTGCTTTATTATGAAGCGCCCGTTCCAAAATGCTGCAAGAAAGTGAGTAAGCAAAAAGTGGGGATAAGAGAATCATAGAATGGTTTGGGTTGGATGGGACCTTAAAGCTCATCCAGTTCCAACCCCCCTGCCAGCAGCAGGGACACCTTCCACTAGACCAGGTTGCTCAAAGCCTCATCCAGCCTGGCCGAGAACACTTCCAGGGAGGAGCAGCCACAGCTTCTCTGGGCAACCTGGGACACTGTCTCACCACCCTCACACCAAACAATTTCTCCCTCACATCTCATCTCCATCTCCCCTCTGACACTTTCAAGCCATCCCCCCTTGTTCTGTCACTCCCTGCCCTTGGCCAAAGTCCCTCCCCACCCTTCCTGGAGCCCCTTCAGGTACTGGGAGGCCGCTATAAGATCTCCCCGGAGCCTTCTCTTCTCCAGGCTGAACAGCCCCAACTCTCTCAGCCTGTCCTCACAGCAGAGCTGCTCCAGCCCTCGCATCATCCTGGTGGCCCTTCTCTGGACTTGTTCTAACTGGTCCATGAATGGGATATCCATCCCTCATCCGTCTGTCTGACAGGAGGAGCCGTGTGTCCCACTGCCCAGTGCGCCTCTGCTGTGTTTGGAAGCCGTGGAATGAGGAGATCTGGCTCTGGGATGTGTCAAACTGGGCTGGTGAGCGTTGAGCAGCGCAGCGTGGCTCAGGGAGTGCCGGGAAGCCCGTGTCCTCTCACCCTCACTCCCCACAGACTGCTCTTCCAGCAAAACAAGATGCACTGACTTCGTTTCAGCTCCCCCAGGCCCAAGATTGCTGGCAGAGCACTATTAATTGAAGCCATTTCAAAATCCATCCAGTCAAACCTCTTCCTCCAGCTACCTGTCCCCATGGAAATGACCCTGAGCTTCACAGTTCAGCTCTTCCTCCAGTCAGAGGTGTCTCACCAGAGCCAGCGACCGAGGCCAGACGCAGCTGTAGCCACACAGCCGTCACCTCCACACTACAACAGCCCCATCCCAAAGTGAAAGAGCAGAGGGGAGAGAAGGAAAGTTGATCAATAGGGGCACTCAAAAAAAAAAAAAGGGCAGGGACATGTCCTTCCCTGCTCGTGCACTGGACTCAGTGCTCAGGAGCCCCGTAAGGCAACTGCAAACACACAAAAAACCCACAAGCTAAGAGCTAAATTATTACCTAAAGCTCTGGAGGACACCTGAAGCCTTTAGATAAATAATCAATAAATTGACAGGAAAATCTACGGCTTGCACAGGAAACAAAAGGAGAGATTTTTCTGGGATAAGGCCGCACAGCTCCACATCATCAACTCGTTAACTTCAGTAAGAAATAAGGGTGCAGATAATCTGGGTTTTGCTGCATTATGATTATAAATAAGGTTTCTGTATCAGTTTAATTCTGCAAAGCGCTTTAGGATTAGGGCTGGCAGCCAGGACAAATCTCTCCATAGATGCCACAAGAATGGGTTTTGGTACCTTGCTATATGATGATGGGTGACAGCGAGGAAAGAGATGCTGTGCTTTATGGGCAAACAAATCCACACGGGGATTGCTCCGGGGAGAGGATTTCACGCACGAAGGCGTTCCTTCTCAGGAGGGCTTGAGCAGAGGGTCCCCCCCCAGACAGAGCTGGTGGTTTGTTTCATACTCACATCTCCCTTGTGCAACTCCGGCACCGTGATCCGCACCGGCTCCGTCCTCTTCTTTGGCTTGGGGAGGCTCAAATCCACCCCAGCCCCGGGTAGAGCAGCAGAGGCCGAGACAGGAGGGGGCAGGTTGAGGGTAGAGGCAGCGGTCGTGGTGGCAGCGTTCCTCGG